TGATATTTCTAATGTTCATTCTAGAGCAATTGATTTTCAATTGTGTGCGTGTATACTTTAATTCCTTTGGTGCAAAGCAAAATTTCAAGCATGAAATCAGAGAGAGAGAGAGAGAGAGAGAGAGAGAGAGAGAGAGAGAGAGAGAGAGAGAGAGAGAGAGAGAGAGAGAGAGAGAGAGAGTGAGTGGGGAGGGAGAGTGAGGAGAGCGAGAAGGGGGTGAGAACGGGGAGGGAGAGAGAGGGGGAGGGAGAGAGAGTTGGGGGGAGAGGGAGTGAGAGTGGGGAGGGATGGAGAGAGTGAGTGGGGAGAGAGAGAGTGAGTGGATTGAGAATGGGGAGAGAGAGAGTGAGGAGGGAGGTTGAGAGAGAGAGGGAGGAGGGAGAGAGGGGAGGGAGAGTGATTTGGGAGAGAGAGAGGGAGAGAGAGAGGGAGAGGCAGAGTGTGGGGAGAGAGAGTGAGGAGGGAGAGAGTGAGTGGAGAGGAAGAGAGTGAGTGAGTGAGGGGGAGAGAGAGGAAGGAGGGAGATAGATGGGGAGATATAGAGATTGGAGAGAGAGGAGAGTGAGGAGAGAGAGATAGGAGGGAGGTAGATTGAAGAGGGAGGGAGGATAGAGAGTGAGTGAGGAGGGAGAGAGTGAGGAGAGTGAGTGGGGTGTGCGGAGGAGGGAGAGAGTAGAGAGAGGGGAGAGTCAGGAGGGAGAGGGGAGAGTGAGGAAAGAGAGAGTGAGGAGGGAATGAGCAGGAGAGTGTGGAAGAGAAAGAGATGGGAGGGAAAGAGACACCATAAAATCATTTCATTTTTAAAGTTAAGATATTGGTAATTTCGAACGTATAACTAGGTTGTTTTTTTGCATTTATTATGTGGTATTGCTTCTCGGGTATGGGTACTTCAAAATTTACTCTTTTTTGACCCTTTTGATATCATACTTGTACATTTCGTCTACTTGCATAAAACAAGATATTTAAACAAGATTTTTAACTTGAATGTGTTGCAAGATACTTATCATATTTTTCAGTATCTATATATATACAGCCACACAATTCACAAGTCTACAAAAGTAAAGTTTACAAGTTTGTCGAATTTTGATAATGAGAAATTAGGAACAGATAACAGTGCCACAATTTTAATTTTTTTTTAATTTCTTCTTTTTCCAAATTTATTTCAAAAATTGTATTTTTATTTCTTATTTCAATTCTAACTTTAAATTTAAATTTTCCAGTTTTGTATACTGAAACGCAAAAGAAACGCAACACCCTACTTAGAGGGAAACATTATATATAGGATATAATTTTGTATCTAAAAAGTAAGGATATCATGATCATCAACTTTGTAAATATTGGTAATTTAATGGTTGAATGACTATCATACCATTACCGAAAGTTAAGTTTGAGTGCACTTAACAAATATCAAAAATTGCATGTTTAACAAAACATTTAAGGAATGTTTTTAAGTTTTGTGTGAGTTATTGGTGTGTAAATCACACAGACTTGCAAGAAGGCATATTTTTCATGAAGCGCTAGCGCGCTTCATGAAATATGTCTACGTGCAAGTCTGTGTGATTTACACACCAATAATTCACACTTAATTTAAAAACATTCCTTATATTTACATTTTACATGCTTAAATGCACCAAATATTTACTCAATGTTTGAATTTCTCGCTGCCCTATATCGTTACATTTTTATTAACGTCTCTGTAGCCTCATTGTGACGTCACTTTAGCGCGAGTGTCATCGTGTATATTTCTACGCGTGAGTATATACAAAAATGACTTTCAAATCAATTTCACAGTTGGCTTAGTAGAAAAACACAGCAAATGTAAATATATAAAAATGATTTTCAAATCAATTTCACAGTTAGCTTAATAGAAAAAAAAACATATTTGGCAATAAAATGGGCTTTTAAGGGTCTGTATCTGTTCATCAAACATGTAAGTAATGCAGCAATATTCCGAAAAATAAATTCTCCTTTCTTTTTCGTATTCGATGCCAAGACTTCCTGAAAATGACTTAAGTACGCATTTCCATTGCTCAAGCTGGAAAATCTCAAAATAAAGGTGATGGAGCATAAATGACAGTCCTTGGACAGGAAGTCCAAGGGTTGTTAGGCTAGAAAAAAAATCGACCTTATCATCTGAAAAACGGGCATTTAAAAATGGCAAAGAATATTTCTTTCGCTCAAATCTTGAGATTGATGAACCTATTGCATTGTACGAGCTGCAATTGTTGTGCATGACAGTCTTGCACGCCGTAATTGAATTGCCGGGGTGGGGGTAGAGGGGGGTGTTTTAACAGGCATGTGTTAAAAGATAATCATTTAACATTTTATCAAATCTCTGATCTTTTTAAATCGAGTTTTACCTTACTGTATTCAATTTTGAAAATTATTAGATAAAAAATTAAATATATATGTAGAATACTCCTTCAGTATATCATTAATATAAATAAAAGTCCAGGCATTTTGACATCATTGGCAGCTGCTTATTCAATAAAAATGGCACTCGTAAATTTACTTACCTTGTCATTGGTCATTTGCAAAATTATTTTGTTAAAAAAAACCATTCCGTTTGTATATTACACAAGTATTCTGAAGTTGATATTAAAAGATGCTTGAGTTTCTAAATTGACAATATCTGTGTGGTTTTTGGAGAATATGTTGGAATTCCCATGAGTACCAATTGCGCCCCATAATAAACAGACTTATTTTTGTATTCATATGAAGCAGAATTTATTCAAAATCTTATACAGGAGAAGACGAATACACTTGTTTGTGGCCTTCAACTGGACATTTAGTTATATCGACGACGCCTTATCAATTAATAATAGTTATTTCCATTCATTTGTCGACACGATATATCATAGTGAGCTTGAAATTAAAGATACCACAAAGTCTGACACGTATGTTTCATACTTGGATATTTTAATAGAAAAAGACTTTAATGGTACACGATATATCCAAGTGAGCTTGAAATAAAAGATACCACAGAGTCTGACACATCTGTTTCATATTTGGATAATTTACAAGAAAAAGACTTTAATGGTAACCTAACTACAAAGCTTCATGATAATAACGTGATGACTTTAACTTTTCAGTCGTCAACTTCCCTTACTTATGCAGCAATATACCCTTAATTTTCACCTGCCTACGGGATTTATATCTCTCAGCTGATTCGATACGCAAGAGCATGTTGTACAATTTCTAAAACGAGGTAAGTTATTGACAAACAAGTTCGATCATGAAACAAGAATATCAAGTCTCGTTTAAAGTCATCAATTCGTAAGTTCTATGGTCGAAACATGACCTTGTCAGCAAAAACTATCTATCAGTGAGTCAAATGCTGACTGACATTTTTCATACTAATTATTATTTATACACTGAATTGTCGGGAGGTCAACATTACCACTAAATTGCGAAAAAATTCAAGTCAATACCGCTACATTTCTTCGAAATTTCGGGTGATCATTACCGCTATATTTTCTCAATAAGGCCATTGGCGCTCACTCCTCCATGGCACCTGCCCACCCCCCCCCCCCCACCCCCAATAATTTTGCCGATATATAGATGACTATAGAAAACATAGCTTCTATTCTATATGCTTGTGCCCCCTCAAATACAACGTCTGATGACCTTTTTTTTTTTTTGCTTGTCAAGGAAATTTTGGTAGTTGATAGTGCTCCCCCCCAACTGAAAAATGTATGGCTGTACCCCCCCCCCCCCCAAACTGAAATTGCTTCCTACGGGACTGAATTACATGTAGTCTCAGCCGAAAGACCATTGACTTTCAAATCCGAAGGAATAGTCACTCACTACATATATGTTAAACATTTAGGTTTATAAGGCACTGGAAAGTTTGGACAGCTCCCATGGCGTACGAAGCTATCGCCCATAGGCAGCTGATAGGCCTAGACACTAGTAAGGCTGTATCGATCAATATATAGATATATCGATACGTATCGATATTCAAGAATGTATCATATCGAAAAAATAACTTCCAATACGTATCGGGCAGGCAGTTTTTCATATAAATTCTGTGAAAAAGTTAGAAATTTCAATTACCAAGGATTATATTTAACTATTTTGAATTAAAATTGATCAGTTATGATATAATTTTTAAGGAGGTACAGTGTAGCACATTTTAGATAATTATTACAAAATACATAGACAACTTTATTTAACATGTTGATTTTACAGTCGTTAGAAGTTTGAATTTGAAGTGTAATGAGTGAGACAAGAACTTTGATATGAGTTGTAAAACAATTTAATTCATGCATTAAATGGTTTATAAGACTTTTTTGATAGACTTATTAAAGAACCCAATATATCGCATATCGCATTATACATGTTATAATCAAGTCGAAATTTTTTGCTCAATACATAGCCCTATACACTGGGCTACTGTGATCAGTGCTCCAGTTATTAAGACCTGATTTAATTGCAATTGTGTCAACTTTTTGATCACTTTTCGTCGTTATACCGGCAACGTTTCTTTGTTTGTTTTTTTTTTTTATTATTATTATTAAGTTTAGGTACGGGTAGCTCGACCTCGCCTTGGTTGACTGTATGTTAAACTGTTAAAAGTATTAAACAATAAAATATTATGATTTTGAAGCATTTCATCCTTAGTGAATTCACAGGCACCTGAATTTTTATCAATCAGTCGCTCAATAAGCCAAATATCGAAAAATTCTACCCCCTCTATATATGGGTAGAATTTTTCGATATTTGGCTGATTGATAAAAATTCAGGTGCCTGTGGTGAATTGTCAAGTGCTCAGTGTGAGTTGCATGAATTATATCCAAATTGATTATATTAACGTACATTATATCTGGGCAGATCGGGTTTCATGTCATTCTCATTAATGTATATTCTACATTGTAAAGTCTCTTTTTTCGCATGTGTGTGGTACATCATTTCGGAAAATGTTGAGCTATCCTTAGTAAATTTATGTTTAATATTACGTATGCGCATGCGCCAATAAACAAACGCATGTGTGCCTGACTGTGTGGTGAGACTTGCTGTATTTTTCTAACTGACCCTGACATATATTGCTTATCATGCATACCAACAGTACTGCATGAACATCCATTTCCTAATCGACGGTTTTGCCATTGATGTCAAAGGTAGGGACAAGAAGACGCTAGTATCATATACACTAAACCTTTGAGTATCTCGAATTTCCTCGAACTTCATGTACACATGTCACACCACAAGGGCTTGTCACAATATTAATCTTCTTACAGTACTCTATAAAATTTTAAAGTGTAGGGGTGGTCAAAAAGAAGAAGGACAGATTGATCGTGACATGTCCAGTACAATCAGTACATTTAGCTACGTAGGTAGAATATTACCCACCGTAGCTTTATTTAGCTACTCCAGATAGCTTTATTTAGCTATATCAGTGCAACTTTTCACGATTTTGCTTTTTATAACAGGTGCAGCACAATCTCTTGATTTAGCTATATAGCTTGAAAAAGCTCTATAGCTTTATTAAGCTATTTAAAATAGCTTGATAATGCTATTTCTGTGCAGTTTTTCAGAAAAATGTTTTTTGTAGGAAATAGACAAAAGTCGCAAGTATTTGACTATTCATATATGTACTATGGGCTATCAAAACAACAACAGAAATCAAAGCACTGCAACATTTGAATACTTTTAAGCAAAAAATGAATTTCCATTGTTTGAGTAACTGTACACTACCTTGTGTCCGTTGAGGCATGGATAAGTATGATTGCTTATCATTGTACTGAATTATTACCAATCAATTATCTTGTTGACCATAATTGGCCTCTTTTATAATTTCAATGAAGAAGTAACTGTATCAATTGATTTATATATAGCCCCAAAACTTTTAGAACTTTGAGTACAAAGTCTCTTAAGGAGACGCAATTTGATGAGTGATTTTTAAATGCATTATTTTCAGAAGAGTTCAAGGTTGAATATTATCACTGCACCAGGGTGCGACTTTTTGTGCATGTTGAAAAAATAACACATTTAAGAAAAAAGTATGATGAAATAGCTTAATCAAGCTATTCTGAATAGCTTAATAAAGGTATATAGCTAAATCAAGCTATATAACTAAATCAAGAGATTGTGCCGGACCTGTATAATTTATTTAAAAAAGACAACAACAAAAAAATTGCAAGTAAATGCCTACTTTAATTTAATACTGTAAGAGGGTGAACATGGTAGAAAAATGGAGCTCTGTTTACAGAAATTATTGGAGTCGGATCATTCTTTATTTTCTTTCATTGATTAATGCATAAAATTTGATCTGTTAAATAAAGCATTGACTAAACACAAGGGCTTGTCACAAAATATCTCCCAAATCTTTAAATATTAGTCATTGTGACTATAAATTAAAAACACAAAGGTGAAGGAATCTGAAAATAGGAAAATCGCTAACACAAATTTGGATCAGACTGGTCTTTCAGCTGAAAAACAAGCTTGATCAAAATTTATGTTAGCAATTTTCCTATCTGGTGTACTTTTGTAGTACATAAGGACAGTGCCCTTCATCAACCCAAGTTCATTTCCATCAGAATGTCTGTAGATCAAAACTTAAAAGAAAGATGATTAAAATTTATAATTAATTATCATAAATAGCATAAAGGAAAATAATATTATACTTAAATCTTGGAAAAATTATGAATTTAGAAATAGAATACAATCTTGATACATATGATTGGCTGAAAGAGGGAAATGGGGAAAGTTTGGTCCAAAGAAACAAAAGAAAAAAAGGCCCTGATTTAAATAAAGAAAGAAGACTGTTTAAATAAGATTTAAAACAAAAGAGTTTAAATAACAAAAGAAAGGAGACTCTAGAAAGTGTTTAACATGAATTAAAAAAAAAAATGGCAGATATTTTTGGACAAGCCATGTACTGTAAAGATTAAATTGCATTAAATCCAACAACACTGAGTGTGCCTCCCCCCCCCCCCCACCCCCCCCCAAAAAAAAATTATGTACCATTCTAATCAGTTGTGTTTTATATTTTAGGATACATAGGAAACAATACAAGTCGATGAAGCTGAGTTGTTGTAGAAGATAATGGGGTCCATTAAGTTACTACAGAGGTAAACTAGATAATATTGATGCAAAGCATCAAATCAGCCACAAACTTTTTACATGCTGATCATGATACCCTGGATGTACGTAACATAATGATGTAGATGATTACTGCAGATGATGGACATCACAATATACATTGATAAGTGAGAAGTGAAAAAAATTGTCTTTGTGTTGATAGCAAGTGTAGCAAATTCAGAACAAAATTAGTACCAATTCTAAGTACCCGCCTACCCGGTACATGTAATGTAATTATCCTGAAAATAGAATCGAGTTGCTTTTAAGCAGTATATGCTACAACTCTAGGGAGCACATCTTGTATGAACGTTTGTAAAATCATATTTTTAATATATCTGATTTAAAATGATTAAAAAATTGAAAAGCATTAGCATCAATAATTAAAACAATTTTAAAAATTTTTATTTATAACATTTATGCATGTTATAAATGCTATCAAAAATGAATTATTCTATTGAAACAATAAATAATGCCTCATTTTCCCATGTGCACGTTCTAACACAACAACAAATAGATCTTCACTGCTGCAGCCAATAATAAACTTTATGCATACACAATGCCCTGTAGTTAAAAAAAGAAATATCCTCTCAAGGCAAAATTGTGTTCCACGAAGTATGTTCGTTTTTGTAAAAGAATCAAGCTTCTTGCATTTAAGTAAAGATATTTCTAATATATAGAAATGTTTTGAGTACTCTTCCCAGAATTTCTACCTAATTTATACATATAAATTATATGAACAAGTTAATAGTGTATTTGTTGTAAATTTTCATTAAACATGTTAAAAAGTACCATATATACTTGCCTATAAGTCGGTTTTTTGGGAGTTAAACTTTGGTCCAAAATTCTTTATCCAACTTATACGCGAGTTATAAAATGTTTGCTATTTTAGTGGGACAATCCCTCCAATTTAAGCTTTAAAAATACAACCGACTTATAGGCGGACCGACTTATAGGTGAGTATATACGGTAGCTTATATACATTGCTGGTAATCATTTTTTAATTGTACTATTTTTTTTAATTTCAAAGGTCATTGAGAAAAAGCTGGGGAACAAATTATTTTAGAAGTCAACGATGGTCAAAAAGGTTTTCCTCCACACCAAGTCTTCTCACAAACGAAAGGAAAAAGTTTTATCCCACTGACCAGATCGGGAATTTGGAAGATTTTGAGAAACATGCCAGTCCGGAGGAGAAGAGGCTATTTCAGATCGTCCAGTCTGAATATCTGGCACTCTGCAGGATGGGCAAATTAGATGTAAAGATTCAGAGAAATTCTTAGAACAATTTGCATCTGTTTAACATGTTTAATAAGACTATCTGTATTGTTACTTGATTACTAGAATCTATAAAACATCATTTTAGTGCAAGCCTTTGGAAGGTAACCTAAATTACAGGGTTGCAAATAACATTTAAAACCTAAGGGGCCATGTGCCCCCCCCCCCCCCCCCCCCACACACACACACACTTTGCAAGTTTTACTAGCCCACATTGTTATTTTGGGGCCCACAATTTTCTCTGCACTTTGTAAAAAAAACTTTCTCAATCTTTTTGTACATTATTATATAATTTCTCTGAGAAATTTACTTTGCTGTCCAGAGTCTTTCATTTTCCTGATGATTTTGACACAGTAAATAAATGACATTGCAACATTTTGAGACCTCATAAAGTTATAATATTAAGGTGATTAAGGGTCTAGAAAACATTTTGTTGGTAGGGAAACAGTGAAAATGAAAGTGCATTTATTTGTAGAATCAAAGCTTGGTCAGGTTTTGGAAAGGTTCTGATAAAATTCTTACTCGTTATGTGGGCAATTACATCTTACATCCTCAGGAGCTGGTAGCCCACAGGCAAAATTACTGAGCCAATTTCAACCAAACTTGCCACAAAACATTCTTGGGTGAAGGGGATTTTAATTTGTGTAAATGAAGAGCCACAGGAAGTTTTAAGGGGGGTTAATTATGAATTGGTAAAAATTTGATGGTATAATTTAAAATCCTATCCCCAGAAACAACAGGGCCAGAAAAGCTGAAGCTTATATCAAAGCTTCCTGACATACATGTAATGTAGATTTAAATTTAATCAAATCATGGTCCCAGGGGATAAGGTGGGGCCATATTAAGAGGTTGGATTTCAACATGGGAATTATAAAAGGGGGCAGGGGAAAGAAATCTAATTTCTGAAGATCAGCCGAGCTGTAACTAGTCATATTAATATGGAAACATCATAAGGTACTGTGTAGATTCAGTTTGTTCCTGAACCTGAACTGACCTGAACTTCAGCACTTTCTGCATGCATATTTCATGAAGCCCATTAGCACTTCATGAAAAATATGAGGGCATGAAGTGTTGTAGTTCATGCACCTCATGAATTTTCAAAAATTAAATTCATTTCTTTTACATTTATTTGATGATTTGACTTAAAATATTTCATTCAAGTTTCATTTTTGAAAAGAAACAGATTGCTCAAAATATATTTGATGTCAAAAAATATATTTTGACATCCCAATGAAAAAAAAAAATCATACTCATCTATGTCAGTTCAAAAGGAAATTTCACTGCCATGGGTCAAAATTTTCATGGGAATAAAATGGGGAAAATCTTAAGAAAAAACAGGGCCAAGGTGACTGAGGTGAGAGCATTGTTACTTTTGAATATGGGCAGTTGTTATGACAGGCAAATGATCACACACCCACTAGACAACCTTCTGTCTGTGTGTTCAATAATCTGTTGCATGTTTCGATAACCACAGGTATTGATACGAGTACTTTCTGAAGGCTTTTCATTGGATGATTGTTGTATTTTACTCTATTTTTAGATGCCTGATCCTACTGATTCACAGTGGTTGAATTTAATGAACCTGGAAGGCAAAAGAGCCAGAGAAAGAAACTTTATGTGAGTCGAAAGTATTTTGTGAAGAAAGGTAGTAAAAATTTTCATCAACTTAAACAGGTCTCACCGAATTTTTAATAGTGGTAAAACCAAACAAAAAACAAAAAAAAAACCCACAAGACTGTTAAAGTCAATGAGAATTTTTAACAGTGATTAAAAAAAAGGAGAAATTGCAACAAAATACCATGGAAACATTAAAGGGTATACATGTTGATAATTCTTTTCATGGGAGTGTTGAACAGTGTTCAGAAAAAGGATTCCCATATTTCCTGATTCTCCAACATTTACTGTATTATAGGTATCTTCAGAGAATTCACTGGATGAAAACCAAGACACCACGTGAAAAAGTGACACCAGAAAAAAATACACACATCCGAGAACGCTTTTACAAGGACATGTTTAGCTTCACAGAACGGACTATAATCAACAATCGCGTGGGTCAGGCAGCGTTGTTGGAGGACCCCATTCTGATTGACCTAGGCTTTGCGGACTCGTTAGTATTCAGTGAAATCATTCAAGTGGCCAGACAACTTTTTTCTTTAGTAGAGTGTATCAACAGATCTGCCTTTGAACCAACGCCAACTCTGAATATAATGTTTTGTAATGCCAAACCATCACTGGAAGACAATGAGTTTTTAAAAGTTTTTAGGTCTAAGGAGTACTGTGGTCTTGATCGGACATTGAAGGATCTTCCAGTGTCTGCAATCACAGAGAAAAGTTACCTGGAATTGTTTCCAAGAGAGGATTTGGTGTATCTTTCACCAGATGCAAAACATTATTATATTCCTGAACAAGACGGGATCCCTATTATTGGTGCTATAGTAGATAAGACGACAAAAGACAAGTTGTCATACAGCAGGGCATTTGAAGATAACATTAAAATTCGCAAACTGCCCATTGATATTGGTGAAACGTGAGTAAAATTGTTGTCAGCTTCTTCAAATATGTGTAATATTTATATGTCCATAAAAAACTCCAAATCACCAGAGAGAAATCTGTTCTAAAGACATTGCTGGTCTTGTCCATTGTATTCCTTTTATGAAATTCAGAATTCATTTTAAATGTTTCAATTTCAGTAAGCAGTCCTTTTTGGAGCAGTTTGTTTATTTCAAATCATTATGTTTAGACTGATTTTGTTTAAATACTACAGGTTTTATGGATCCAAGAGGTTAGCACTGAACCATGTTGTGGAATACTTAGCCAAACTAAAGTTCACTGGCAATCCAGTTGAAGCTAGAACTGTTTTACCACACAGAAAATTTATAAACCCTGAAGAGAAGATACGGAAAAGAGACCGCAATGTTGTTATTTAAATAGGAGATCAGTGACGATATGGAAATAAATAAGGAAATTAAAATACAGCAATGTTGTTATTTAAAGAGGAGATCAGTGATTCTGGGGCATTTGATCTTTAATGAAGCAGATTGAATCATTTGACCCATGTATTACTGATTTCTTTATCCTTTTAAAACACGGAGAAATCAAATCAAGACCACAACTATGTCTGGGCGAATTGACAGTTTTGATATTGGTCATAAACATACAGAACAAGTTAATTTTTCTCCCTTTATTCTTCTGACAATCAGGAAATGTAAGAAACTACACTTAACAATGAAATTGATCAAAGAATTTACAAGAATCAAAATAACTAATCACTATTCTTAATTAAGCTCCGATCAAATTATTTTCTATGAAAAATTCTTCTTTGTAAGGTAGCCTTACTAAAAAAACATGCACAGTAAAATTTGTCTAATCCACACAGCATTAATGGTTCCATAGTAAATTGCCAGATAAGACATCCCGGATTAGGAAACATATTACACAATTGAATTTACTGAAAGGCACTTAAAGTTTTCACTATATTTGATAAGATTTTGGAATACACAACATCCAGATTAGACAAGTTTTACTGTACAATATGGTCATCTACAAATAAAAACAGGTTGTCTCCTTCATTTATTGAAACATATAGAACAATATTCAGTTGTACAGCTCTTTTTTAGAGAAGATGGCATATTAAATCAGGTAGTCTGTTATATCACTAGCATAATTATGGAATGCACATTCAACAATTAAGCTGGAACAATGTGTACAGCACATTCACATGGAACAACGGTAATTCTTTGTCAAAATGGACTGCTCAGAAGCTCCCCTAAAATCAATTGATTTTGATGATGAAAACAGTGATCTCCCCTTATCATACAACAACTCAGAAAACCAATATTATTTTGAGTGTCCAATTCAGTCAAAGTGGGTTACAGCATTGCTTGATGTCACTACCCTCCTATTGGTACATGGACTCCATCTTTAATATTCTCTCCAAATCAAAAGTTACTGTTAGCATATTAAACCACTTTAATTACGACCATGTCAAAAAGTACTCGGATGTTATAAATGGCTACACTTCTCAAGTTTTATGCTAGAATGCCTAGATATCAAATGGAATGTGACATTAAACAGAATATGGAGAAGACGAATAATTTCTACCAGTAAGAAAGCTCAATTTTTTACTCTAAATTCTTAATACATGTACGTAGCATCAACAGTGCTTTTTGTAAACCTACATGTAGCGGCACTATCGACATTTAATTATCTAATAATGGACACCACAGTCATAGTTTCTTTTCAACATTTTATTTTTGCTATTTTCACAATGGAACAATATATTTAAATCATTTTGTGAAATTAACACCTACAATGAGGAGCAATAACCTGCAAAATGAGGGGGGGGGAGGGGTCAGCAAAATTTAGGCTGTATGCAGTATGTCATTGTCGGAACCCACGGGTTTTCTCTCCGTTACAGTACATTCAACTTTGCGAAGTATAATGGAGAGAAAACCCATGGGTTCCAACAATAGCAGTATGTTTCAACAGGGAAAAATAGAACAGTTATGAATTTAATGCATCTTAAACTTATGAAATAAGACTAAATAAGTAAAATACCAGTGCTGAGCTGTATTTCAGAAATATTTTGATGTAAACATTTTAGCTGACTTGAGTACACTGAAGTAGAACTAACTTTTTCATAATTATAATGGTTATGAAACTGAGACATAAATCAAACACCAAGTTATGTAAGTAATCAAAAATATATACACATAATTGAAATTACTTATTCAAGCTATGAATAATAGCAGCACCATTTGTGGGATGAACTAGCAATAGTTAATAAGTATAACATGATAACCATGATTTTGGCATGTTAATTTTTTTTCTTTTGACAAGAAATATATTATACAACATGAGAAGATTAAAAGTAAACAATATAGGTACATGTATCTCAAACATAATCAATTTTATTAAAAACCTTGGGGGGTGACAAAATCTACCTCCCCACCTCTTCATCCTATGTGACCACATAAATGTTAACACCCCTACTCCCCCTAACCACCACCAAAAAGAACTGTAGTTTGTATCCTAACACTATAGATTTTAACTGGTATCAATAGTTCAAATGTGTAGAAATAATGAGATTTGATGAACAGTACCCTTTATATTGTATCTATCAGAGACATTATGTCTTTTTTAAATTAAGATGAATTCACATTTTCAGCTTGTTAGATTTCTGAAAATTCAAATGAATCTTGGGTACACTTAATCATTTTCCTATTCTAATATCATTCAGAAGGAAAACAAAAATAATGATCCAAAATATTTCATCGGCCTATGGAACTGAACAAAAGTTCTCTGTGAAGAGTTATTCCCCTTAACAAATGCTGACCACACATTATTACATGCATTTAAGAACCCTCTCTACACTGCACAGTAAAGAGTTCTGATTCTATGGTATTTTTCTGCAATTAGAGTGATCTGTCCTTAGATCTAAATTCTAATCAATTGAAATTTACAGTATATTACTCAATCTGTAATTAGTTCAAGCATTCATAACATTTTAAATGGCCAAGAGAAATTAAATGAACACTTTATTCTATTCGCATGTATTTTCTCCACGGAAGTAAACAATAGTGATTTCTGTTCATTGATACTTGATTGTCTTTGAACATTTTTCCTGGAGGTAAATGCCACGTACCATATATTGAAAATTAAATTGATAAGCTCATTATTTACAAATTTATTCAATATAATTTTCTCAATGTTCAAAAAACATTTTGCACAGGTGTATAGAGGGTCCTTAACAAATTTTGGCAAGGAGTCATTATAGAATGAATTCATTTTACCCTTTTTTCAACACAAATATATACAGCATACAGGAGGAATTAGCTCAGCAGTCCCTATTTTCAACATTTCCAGGGTGTTTGTAATGTATATATGTATATGATATAACCAAGATGACACTTTTATCCTAGTCGCACAATGTACATTTAACCATCATGACCATACATTTGACAATTCAAATATTAATGCTCTTATTTTATCTCATGTTTTACTTTAAGTAAAACTGCACATCAAAACAAGGACCTGTACGTCCAGTTCTTTTTTAATAATATCTGAATATTATTACATAAAAAAATTCTTTTCATACCAAAGAATTGAGCCACAAGTTATTTCTGAAAAAAATCAGTTATTCTAAAAATTGGGTTTAACTTACAGATAAGGTATCTACATGTATGATGCATGTATGTTGTCAAAATTGTGTTACTTTGTTTTTAGAAAGTTTGGAGTAACTCGATCAAATCCCTGTAAATTTTAATCGAACCCATTTTAAAATTTCCCTTTTTCTTTGTACATTTTCATAATTAATTTAATGATTACTTAATGATTTAATGAAAAAAAAATTACAAGCTACACAGTATCAGCTGCCTTTGAAGTAAAAGACTATATAATTATTAACACATATATGTACAAATATGAAAAAAAAAGTTTTCTGTACACTTAACAACCTTTGTTCATTGAGACACGTACATCCTTGATGTATATAAAAAATAACAAAAATCTACACAAATATATATTATTATAATACATTCTCTAAATTTCAACAAGCTATCAATATCTTATCACATTCTTTAGAACAGTGTGTATGCAGAAACAACAGACAAATCTTGCCCTCCATATGAGGGGGGAAATTGTAAAACTTATCTCACTACTTTTCATTCAATATACTGTACACACAAATCTGATTTGCCTTTCCCCTTTACCACCTATTGAGTCAAAAGAAGGTCTTCGTGACCATTACATTTTCTGAACACAAATCATTTTCATCGAATGAAAATGAACCCATTTTTTAGCCTGGACAGATGAAGGGGCAATTATATTCGATGCAATTATCACACAAATTATCAGGAATATAATATTCAAAATAACTGATGAACACCAAAAAATTTCTCCTGAATCACAGACACAAAGCGGTTCCTCATTTTAGCTTTGAAATTCTCATACCACAACAACACGTTCTTTCTTCGTTTGGATTTCTGCTCCAGTGTCATTTTGGCCTCTTTCTCAAGAATGGAAGGAAGTTCCTTTTGCCAATCTTTGATGTATATCACAGGTGCTTTTTCAGACTTTAAAAGTCGATGAGGGGCACTTACTGGAAATCCAGAGGAGTTCCCACAATTCCCTGGGGTTAGGACATCCTCTATAACTGGGATGGAGCCATAAGATAGGGCTTCATATATGCGGTAACATTCTGGATTCATTCCCACAGGATTAAAAGTGAGGTCGCTGTGTGCTAATACTTTAAGGTAATTATCTCGTGAGCCCTCGGTTTCATCGGGTAACCATCTAAAAAATGCAAAATATTACAATGTAAAAGTACTACAATTCAGTTCTTTTTTTTCTAAAATGAGGCTAAAAAATGAACCTGAATGGAAATAAGAAGTCTCCATCATCTCTGCAATTTGCACTTACAACAACCCTCTCAAAATTTTGTCTTCAACTGTACAAAATGTGTTCAAAATGACTTGCTTTTGGAGCAGATGATCTAGTAAGTGTAGACCATTAAAAAGGCAACATATACTTACTCATGACGAACTTTGACGTAACATCTGTCCTTCATTTCAGGGGTGGATAATAAATCCAGAAGCACCTGTCGTGAAGAGTTGACATATATTGTCCCCATGTAGTTACACATATGCTTTCTTTGTATGGAGGTTGGAATGAAGGCACTTTTCACTTTAGGAAAATTCCTATAACTAGAAAATGAAAACATATAGCAGATTGTACATTATTTACTATATTGCTGGATAAAGACACAACTATATCAGTTGATGAATAGCCTATTTTCACCCGGTTTAGTTTATGAGTTACATATTAATTCAATGCAATCAATTCTATAAATTGTTGTTAATTTCATGTTGTTTGACCTAAATCATATGTTAAACCAGAAGTAGCTTGAGGAAATATTTATGCATGTTTGGTAAGGTATACCTGTATTTAATAGCTAGCAATGAAGCAATATCTTGTAATGATAATATATACAATATTTACTCCTGAATGTTCAGTGTTAAATAAGAACTACCTAGTGTACAGTATCAAATCACTTACACTTTGTGCGACTTCATTTTTGCCAGACACTGTATATATTTCGTGAGAATTGGATATGATTTTCAAATGTCTTGTAAAATGATAAGTTGTTAGAGTAACTTCCATTGATCATTGTTAAGCACTTTATATTTTGAACAAGAAAATATTTTGTAATTATTCATGATATTGTCAGCAGCTGTGACTTAACTGCAATACAGTCAAACCTCATTATCTCAAACTTGATGGAATTTTGGAAAAATTCTTCAAGATATCCCAAGACTGATCAGAGGTACCGAGCTTGAGGTTAAATACACAGAGAAAGAGAAGTTCGGAATTCCAACTCACTTCGACATATCCATGGTATTTGAGATATTGATGATCGAGATACTGAAGTTCAACTGTAATTTTCATTTACAGTAACTAAACAGATTTACAGGAACTGCTTTACAGTAACTTCAATTATTCATTATTTTTGTAATACAAGAATGAAGATATGAATTAACATGACTTTTGTATAAGAAATCAACCATATACTTTATCCGAATTTGCTCTGATTCATTCCAATGTTTTACTTACGTAGCAACACCAAGTGGCCACTGGTAGAAGTACTTGTTGTCGACATCAGGGCTATCATAAACAACAAAAACAAACTTGACAGGTCCCTTATTGGTCACTAAGTATGGCTTGATCCACTCGTTGTCACATTGCTCATTGCCAAGGAGAACCACGGCAACATTCTTCAGCTGTGGGAAACCAGACAGAGCATCTAGCCAGGCTTTAGCCGGATCAATCTTTGTGAAGTCTCGGACATTGAGGGTCAGTACAAGGTTCTGTGTGTCTTTTGGCACTTTTGAAGGAGTTACTCCTGGTCCCGTTCTAAATCTAAAGCAGGAAGACTTTTTTTCTTAAAATCATTTTTACATCATTTTCTGAATCAGCAGTGTTAATTTATAAGCTAGCTGTACTATTATAATAGTTGCTTATCAAACAACCTACAAAAAAGTCATGAATCAATTCAGATTACATACATGTGACAGTTGTGACTTCAATATTTCTTTACAGTTCTTACTCCTCCTATGCACCTGATCCCACCTCTGGAAATTCAGAGGGTCCATGTTCCATGCCCTATTCATACACTTGTATTGTTTTAAGATTTTTTAGAGATTGATCATTGTTCATTATCTACACTTTCTTCATTCACAAAGGGAGACAACTCAACATCCAATCAAAGAAGAAAACAAACTCATCAGTACTCTTCCTAATAACCATGCATCTTTAAAATTGCAGTGATGATAAAAAATATTTTACATGTGCATTCAGGTTTCATTTAAGATATAATTTGATACAATTTACATGACAGCAGTACCTGAACTCTATATTTTGGAATCTTTTGGTCCCATAGCTCCACACTCCCCCCATGCGGGGCCCAAGCTCAGCATCAAAAATGTGTTGCCACAGGTACAGACCTAAAGAAAAAATTAACAATCAACATCAATTATACATTTAATTGTGCTTAATTTTTACATTGTAGATCTTTCTGAGCTTCGTGCATAAACATAAAATAAAAGAATTTGTATTCTACAAAAATATTTCTGTGTCAATTTTGAACAGAAGTATGCAGAGAATTTGGAATTTTTGGAGGATCCTATGTGTGTTCACACTTCTAACATACATCTAGTAAGATGACTTGATCAGAGCCACACTAAATTGGTGACTTGACAAACAGCTATAATTCTGATGATGTTCAGCAATTTCAAATGATTAAACAAGAGGCCCATGGGCCACAAAGCTCACATGAGTAACTATGGCCCTGCTGTTATTCATCAGCAGATTTCCCTCTACAGTGAAACTCGGTTATAACGAAGTCACTCACCGGGGACCTGTGAAATTACTTCACTATATCCGTAATTCGTTATATCCATATAAGGGACTTGTTAAATTCATATAGCTGGGGATCCAAGAAAACTTCGCTATATCCATGAATTCACAATATCCGTGTTCATATTAAATGAGTTTTACTGTATATATCTCTACGCAAAATTTTGACCACATACTGTGGTCCTACCCTGACCCCCAGGGGACACAATTTAAAAAATAAACTTGAATTTACACTGTCTAAGGATACTAAAGCTCCACATCAATATGACAAATCATGGCTTTGCATTCTTGAGATGAAGCTAATTTTTCAAGATTTTTTTCCCTTATGTTCCATTGTAATTTTTTTTTCATGCACCACTGTGGCTCCAACCCTACCCCCTGGGGTCATGATTTGAACAAACTTGAATCTAAGCTATTATACTTGAAGATGCTTCCAAATAAATATGACTAATTATCAATATGGCTTTGCTGTTCTTGAAATTGAAGAAAATTTTAAAAGTCTCAATTCATTCTAGAAACACAGAGTTAAGGATATGATCTTATGTCCAGGTCTTGAATCCCATTATGGAATGTGGCCAGGATAAAAGGAATTAGAATTATCATAAGTGCTTTAGCTTCTCCAATTTTTCAAGCTCTCCAGGCACTTTCATTCAGCATTAATAAATCCATATGCAACTTTTTCTTACGCATATTTGCTGATTCAGAAATTTTAGCAGTATGTAACATGTGATTTAAAGCAATGCATATAATTATTCAAGTGCATATTAAGTACTTTTCATGTTATTCAGTAAACTGCAGATGAAGATAGATTTGATTCAATAATCACTGTGACCTCTGGTGACCTACAGGTTTGATTGACAGGTGCCCTTTTCCAAAATCAACATGGAAGCTCACTTAATCATTGAGAAATGTCAATAACTCTGGCAGAAATCTGAGAATTTACTTCCAAAGAAAATAATTATTCTGCCTCCCTATAAATAACTAACCATCTCCATATTACATTTCTTCATCATCAGCCAATGGATCAGATTTGTGACATAACCCTGAGAGGGAGAGATATCTCTTTTTGTCACACTGTGTTCTTCCAATAATGTGTTTTAGTTCATGTAATGGAAAACATGATTTTATTTTGTTCTGTCCGTATATTACATTATTACATGGACAAGCTGAGAGAAAAGTAATTTGTTGTTGTGATTTATGTAGCTTTTGTGTAACATGTGGACCTGTTATATTTCACATTTTTCAATCAAGGAAAATAATGTGATTGCATGCAGCCTAACAAATATTGGACAGATTGGAATTCTAAATTGTGAATACAGTTTTCTTACTATAAGCAACCACAATACATCATAATGTAGAACAGTTTCCACACAAAATTTACTTCAAGTTATTCAGCCAACTGTTAGAAATATGAAATTGTGCACACAATTTTAAGTCATATTAATAATACAGTTGAACCTGAGGTATCTCGAACATGGATATCTCAAACACCATGGATATGTCGAAGTGATTTTGAAGTCCCAACCCCTTAAGTATTTTACCCCGTATATCTCGAATCCTCGGATATCTTGAAGTTTTTTCTTGGTCCCATGGAGTTCGAGATAATGAGGTTTGACTGTAATGTCATTCATTTGCCTATACTTGTTAAATTCACTGGGTAGTTCTCGCTAATAATAGAGATGTTTTTTTTTTAACTATTAATATTATAATACATGTTTATATAACATGAATGCCACAAATTTTATTTAACAATTTTAAATGGAAATCTTTAATTAATGAAATGGCCTGGTCATAAATTGCACTGTAGCAAATTCAACATTTAGCATTCTAAGAGTACCGCACAAACAATACTATATATATCTGCAAGTGTCATCTGATTCCCCTTAAAATTAAAAAGGCTCTATAATTCCATCAAAAATCATTGAAGCGGACTGAATTAAAAATTAGGAAAATACTGCGGAAAACCAAGTGTGACAGACTGATAGATAGAACAGACAGACATACACAAAATGAATGAAACATTTAGTCCCCTTTGGTTTCAATGGCAGGGGATGAGTAAATTAATCTGAAACTGAGATTAAATTCAAACACTTTTCAAGGAAGTTAAAAAAAATATGAAAATGAAATTTAACAACATATCCTCTTATCATTTTCATCTCTCGCTGTTCTTTCATAATTATCAAATAGATATCTGATTCAGTTCCTCTCTGGACCATAGCTGAAAACTCTGAATGTGAATTAACAATGATTCAGTGGTGAATTATACATGTACATCTTCCACTACAATAGAATTTTTTTCTCCATTTGCTAAAAATGGCAGAGGACAATTTGTGTTTGACACATCCTGGTGATGTATGCCTTTAAGCAACGTGGAGTGAGATTTTGATCCCTGGTACCTGCTGAGACCAGGATTTACACGATTTGTGACAGTCATAAAAAATGGCTTCATTAATAAAATTGTCTAGTATTTCAAGAATTTTTTTTATGACCACTGACAATTGAAAGTGAGTCATATTTACTTTTTTGGTATCATAAATTGATGAATTAAAAGTCTTAATTAATTTGATCCACAAAGTAAAACACAGTACTAGTTTAATACAGTAAACAATCTTTAATGAATTCAGCAAAGTTATTTTCATTCCCTGTAACAGTATCTACAGTTTTAAAACGTAAAGTGAATTACGTTTACAATGAATCAAAATTGTTTGTCCCTGGCACTTTGCTAAAAGCATATTTATGGTAATTTCTTTTCGGTCTTGAAATTCAATCAACAATAAGCCAATTATATATACAAATGTACATGTACTGGCTTTGAAATTCAATGTAGACAAAAAGTGAATACAACAGAATTTCCCCCTTTTTTTCTCTCTTTACGTCTTAAATATTAACCACTTTAACTGCTTCTCATCCATTTTTCAGAGGGACCCAAAATGGATTTGGACCACTGATTATATTAAAGGTCCATTACTTCTCCATATAAACCCATCTTCCCTGCTCATTTCAGAGAGTCTTACATCGCCTTCACACCTCTCAACCTAATTTAGCCACTTCATCATGAAAAAAGATGGAGAAATCCATCAGCTATTATTGGAGCCTAATTTAAAATGTCTTTAGCTCATCAACATGCAGATTCAGTCCCATAATCCCAGCACTAACTGCATCTATCTTTCTTCCCGATTAATTTCCTCAAGAATAACGTCCTAATTGGTTTAATAAAAAAAGCCCCTTTCTCCACGGGAGACAGATTAATTATGGAATATCTGAACATTAACATTCTGGGATAAGGAATCTACTAGGAAGAAAAAAATATCAAAACCAACATCTTGTAAAGAAGCTCATAATATGTGCCGCACTGTAACGTTAGGGTATCTCCTAAAAAGTTGATTACACTGTATGATAGACTAATAAATTTTAGTACAGAATATATAATTATGGAAAAAAGCCCAGTTTATGCAGATTTGATGAAATCAACTGGAATTCAAGTAATTCTTAATAAGTAGAATGGAGCATTATTTCTAATTTTTCTATACACGTATGATAGGTATCTATTAATCTATATACATGTATTACTGGACACGCAGTTTCACTATTATCATCATTACCAATTATATAATCAAATGCATCAGTGTAAATCATTTTGTACAAATAAAGGGCAACCAGTGTTTATAAGACATATACTCTTAGGGATTCGTTTGAGCATGAAATAATGCAAAAATGAGGGCACTGCACGTCAACTTTGAACCAGAATACACTCAAAATACCCATCTCCCTGAGTCCCTGTACATTTGAAGATGTACTACAATTATAGATTTATTCACTGGGGTTCAATTCCTGCGATATTTTATTGAACTATAATAACAGACTATTGCTATGGCGACTTTCTGTGTCAAGAATCAGACAGATCGACAAGCATAGAAGGAGTTCATCTTTAGCATCATTTTACAGACATACATAAATCTCTAGGGACAGACCAATTACTATGGGGACACTATAGATGACTGACTGCCAGTGAGGTTAAATAGCTGCCACTCCATAATTACACAAAGGCTGCAAGATTACAGCTGAATTAAGCAGAATTTACACAGGGATTGGTCACCGACCTCAAGACCACCCAATGAACAGGTTAATTTGTAGAGAGAAATGATTGCCCCTTTAGTGGTTTTATCATTGAGGAAAGGAAAGACACAAGTCTGTAGACAGTGAAATGGGATTTTTCAGCAATTATAATTGTGTACCATATGGGACAAAATTTCTATCCTGACAATGTTGTCCGAGGATGACAATTTCAGAGTCACCCACATTGGCAAAGTGGTTAGATTTATGTAACTAGTAAGGAGTTGATCAATATGTTGCAGGTTTGAATCCACAGTGAGACGTGGAGACCAATCATTTGAGCCAAGGTTCCCCGTCACAGAAGATGGTGACACAAAAAAGATCCCTAAGAATAAATTCTAATTTTATTTGTACAGTGTTTCACCATTTGGCTTACCTTATCATATTGTATTTGAACAGAGGGAGTTGCAACTTCATGCAAAGTTCTAAAAAGATCAGTCAGAAGCAAAATTTGATGGAAATGGCAATTAACAAT